GGCTGCGGTGGCCGGGAGCGGCCACTGCACTCCAGTCTGGGTGATAGAGTGAGACTCCAGCTCAAAAAAAAAATAAAAAAATAGCTTGTGTTTAAGTCTGGACCATTTGCTTGTGAAAGGAAGTATTCAAAAGCGTGAAAGTGAGGAATGACTCCAAGAATCTGCAGGCACTCACTGATGGTAACAGTTAATTAATTTCTTATCTAAACCTTTGATGAATTATTTAGTGTCATCAGTAGTTCTAAAATTGTCAGTAATTGGGTGTTAAAGACTTTGGGGGCTAATTTATCCAGAATGCTTTATCTTGCAGTTTCCTGATTACTTGTGAGAAAAAACATTTTGAATATGGCTATGTGTATTTCTCAATGAGAATGAGAAGGAAATCCAACAGCCACTTGGTCTGTTCATATCTTGAGTCTATTTGTTTACTGCTGTCTTGATGCTTTTGAAAGAATCCTTATGAATACAGGTATTGAACTTTTTGTAGAAATCAATTTTATCTGAGGAAGAAAACCAAAAATTGTATCGGACTTTAAGAACATCACTTGGAAGAAGGAAAAGAAGGCAAGTACTTGGACGAGGTAACAACAGTGATGCGGGTGAGCTCTAGCGCAGAGCCTGCCAGAACAGACAGCCCCCAGCCCCGCCAGCCTTCTTTATTCCTGTGGAAAAGGAGGCCTGCCAAGAACAGCCTTGACTAAGGTAGGTACAGCGAAGATGAGAGGAAGAGCAGAGGGACTGAAGAGCTGTGCTGAGAGCAGAATTAACTACACTTGGCATTAGTGTGAACACAGCGTGTGCAGACGCAAGTTAGGAGATAGGCAAACAACTGAGCCAGAGACCCAAAAACAATGTATGTCAACAGGTACGTAATGCCTCAGTGTGACCCAGTAGAAGGGCATGAAAGAGACTGGAGGGAGCCAGTCCAAATTCGTGACCTGCAAAGTAGCATGACGGGCAGTCAGAAGTCCTGCAGGACAAGCTGGAGGGGGAGAGCCAGGGGCCTAGAGCTCTCTGAGGAACAAGTTTTTAGACAACCAAAGTCTCTGAGGAACAAGTTTTTAGACAACCAAAGGGCCCAGTCACCAACCCTTCCCCAAGGCGAGTTCCCCGCCCGCACAAATCAGTACGTACACACAACCTACGAAGAATCAGACACATACCTGTTTTTTTCCAGAACTCCACAGGTACATATCCTGTCCCTGGCCTGCTGTTGAACTCCCGCTGAGAATCTGCAGAAGACGGATACAGAGCACAGGGTCAGAAGCTGCCTGTGATCAGTACTTTTATTTTTTATTTTTCCAGTTGACTTTTCATTTTTTTGAAAAATTCCTGACATTACAGAGCTAAACTGAAAGATATTAATATTCTACCCATTACATTTCCATGACAAATGAAAAAATCTGAGCCAACAAAAGTTTTTATTTTTATGACAAAAAATCTTGTCCAACTTCTTATTAGTCACTTCGAAAGACTCAAACCTGTATGCTCATTTAGTATGAAAGACATTCTTATAAGGACTAAAAATCAAATAAAATAGTATAGCCAATTTTTAGTTGTAATACACACATACATCAAATATTAATATTTCCAAGCTGTGAGATTAAAAGTGATCTTTATGCCGGGCTTGGTGGCTCAGCCTGTAATCCCGTGCTTTGGGAGGCTGAGGTGAGTGGATTGCCTGAGCCTGCGGGTTCGAGACCCGCCTGGGCAACTTGGTGAGACCTCATCTCTACAATAAATCAAAAATTAGCCGGGCGTGGTAGTGCGCGCCTGTAGTTCCACCTACTTGGAAGGCTGAGGCAGAAGGATCAATGGAGCCCAGAAGGTCAAGGCTGCGGTGGCCGGGAGCGTGCCACTGCACTCCAGTATGGGCTACAGAATGAAACTCCAACTCAAAATAAATAAATAAAAGTGACCTTCACTTTCTATTTTTTTTTTTTTACTTGTTTACATGTCCTAGTTTTTTCTTTCTAGTTTTTTGTTTTGTTTTGTTTTTTGTGAGTCAGGGTCTCACTCTGTTGCCCAGGCTGTAGTGCAGTGGCACAATCGCAGCTCACTGCAGTCTCCAACTCCCAAACTCAAGTGATCCTCCCACTTCAACCTCCCAAGTAGCTGGGAATACAGGCAAAATTCACAACACCCAGCTAATTTTTTTTACTTTTATTTTTTTATAGAGACAAAGTCTGGTCTTAAACTCCTGAGCTCAAGTAATTCTTCCACCTCAGCATCCCAAAGTGCTGGGATTACAGGTGTGAGACATTGTACCCAGCCATAACTGTTTCTCTGTAGGCATGTTTTTCTATATTACACATAGCTATTGAAGTTATGTTTATGAAATCTTTAATGATATGAGAACGTGCTCAGTACATGAAATTATGTTTTTGTTTTTGAGTCAGAGTCTCACCCAGGCTAGAGTGCAGTGGCATGCTCACAGCCTCAACCTGCTGGGCCCAGGCGATCCTTCTGGCTCAGCCTTCCAAGTAGCTGGAACTACAGGCATGCGCCACCACGCCTGGCTAATTTTTTGATTTATTGTAAGAACGAGGTCTTGCCAAGTTGCCCAAGCTAGTCTTAAACCCGTGGGCTCAGGCAATCTTTTCACCTCAGCCTCCCAAAGTGGTGGGATTATAGGTAAGTGTGAGGCCCTGAGCCCGGCTGAAATTATGTTTTCAATACAGTAGTCTCAGTTACATTTAAAAATTCTTCAGTGCAGACTGATGAATTTTTTTTGTTTTTGTATTTTCCATAATGAGCCATGCAGGTTCACTGACTTTAAATAAACATGTCTATCTTCATGAGGTTGCCCTGAGACTTAAATGATAATGCAGATAAAGTGACAATTCTCAACATTAGGAGCTAAGGTCCTATCTCACACCAACTGAATCAGAATCTCTAGAGGTGGGGCCAGGGCATCTGTTTTCCAAAGGTTCTAGGATGAGTTCTAATATGCATCTAAGGTTAAGCACTGAGCAAAGGGCCTAGTGCAGAACTCAGCATTTGTGGTGAAGGTCGTTCAAAGCACACTAGGCTCATCATTTCTCTGTAGGTCATAGATATTTTCTACTGTACCAATGACAAAATGTATATTTTGTAGTAAAAAGTTTAAATATATTTTATTAAATTACTACTCAAAGATCAATAATAGGAACAGCGCCAGTCTTTAATGCATTCTGATTGGTTGAGCATGCTGTCATATTTAACAAAACGAACTATTTGCAGAAACTGTTTTTCCACAAACAGAAATTTTGCCTTTGAGGTTCACATCACTCTTGGTGCCTCTGACTCTGGCATCATTAGATTTATGAAAAAGAATACTCTTAAATTTTTTGTTTACTTTCCATGTTAGTCAAAGTTATAGGAACAGTTTAAATAATTCTACAAAGCTTCAATTAGGAAAATAGCAGCACCTCAACCATTTCCTTGCCCCAGAGGCAATCTCTTTTAAACAAATTCTTTCTATTGCTGTATCTTGATTTTTTTCAGTTGCAGGCATCACATGTTGGCTTGCCATTGTACATAACATACCCCCACACCACACACGTTCACAATTCTTTCCCACCATTCTGCAATAGAAACATACCCCAATTCTGTTACATGAAGAGTCAACATTTAATGTAAAGGCCAATCATAGCTGAGTCATGCAATTTATATTCTTTTATCTTTCTGAACACTTTTTTGTCTTCCTTAGAGTTAATTGCCTTGTTTATTCATGCACTAAATTTTTTATGTAATTATTTAAAATTCAGTATCAAATTCTCCTCCTGCTGTGTAAGTTATTTTGTAAGTTTCAAAACAAAACTTGAAGAAATCTCCACCAAGCTCTGGGCTATTCTCATGTAACCTAGATATTTTCTAGGCTTGCTTTCTCTACCACGTTGCTGAGGGCCCTCCGTGTCTCACTCGTACTGCTTCACTTCCACTCATGGAGGCATATCCTCAGTGGACACCATGATAAAGAGTAGGCAGGAGGTGGATTTTTCAAAAAATTGTTGGGCAAAATTAACCAAAGCAATTTTCTTTCTTTTTTTTTTTAATTTTAATCGATATTTTTAATTATGATTTTGTGGGGTACAGTTAAGGGTTAGGTGTACAATTACGTTTCATTCAGGCACCCTGTTGATAAGAGGTGTTTCCCCATCCCCAGACAGATATTTGCGACTGTTAATCCCATCCCCCCCCCATAGTTTCCCAGTACCATCAGACATTTTCTTATAGTATTACATTGGATGTTCAAGGTCCATTATATGAGTGAGAACATGTGATACTTGGATCTTTGTTTCTGTGAGAGGTCACTCAGTATTATAGACTCTAGTTCCATCCAGGTCCAAATAATTTTCTTAAGTACAGAATCTTAAAATAATTTTCCTGATTAGATCTACTTCTTTCACAGTGTTGTTTAGTTGGTAGACTGGTTCAACCTGCAATTATCTTTCGGTTCTTGGTAATTTTTCAGAATTATTTCAATGACTATTCCATTATCCTGTTCACTCTTTTGAAACTCATGATTTGAATATATAAGCTGGATAGATTTTCTAAATTTCTTATAATCTATTCTCAGGGATATTAACAATACTATGTATACTTTTGGAAGTTTTCTTTTCCCTGAGGAGTTGTTGTTAACTCCCATTTTGGTTTATTTCAGTCTTCACTTTTAATAATAGAGGCTTACCTCTAGAGATTGGTCACCTTTAACTGCTAACTAATAATGCAGGATACGAAAAAGCTGCCTGGAAGCCCCAGGAAAGAAACTGAAGCACATCTGCTCTGGGCTTAACTAGAAAAGTTTCCCCAGACATGACTGCTTATTGGACTCATTAAACATATGTATTCAGATTCTTGAGTCCCAGAATCATAATCTCCTCGGAAGGGTTCAGATGTTTATCTGTAGAAAATATTCAGGTTTGACTTTCATTCTGAGGAAAAGTTGAGTTCATTTCTTTCCTTTAAAAAATTTTTTAATTGCAAATATTGGATGGCTAGTAAATTCATAAAAATACTAATATATAATTTCTTTTACTAATATACAATTGAATGAAAAATTATTAAGTGAATACCCATAAGCCCCCATTTAGGAAAGAGAACACTACCAATGGTCCCATGTCCGCAAAAGGTGAGCAGTAGTAGGTCACAACAACGTGTGAATGAGGTCAGCCAGGTTGGCAATCCCACCTGGGAATCAGTCATCGCTCTTACTCTATACCTTCCATTCACACCCCAGAGGAAACAATCCTCCTGACTTCTGGGATAAGCATTTTCTGGTTTTTCCTTACAATTTTTGTACTTATTTATGTATCCTTAAATAAAATACATAAATATGTCCCTTGTTTTTTGGGGTTTTTTTTGAGTTGGAGTCTCACTCTGTCACCCAGGCTAGAGTGCAGTGGCATACTTATGACCACCGCAGATTTGACCTGCTGGGCTCAGGTGATCCTTCCACCTCAGCCTTCCAAGCAGCTGAAACTACAGGCATTTTTTGATTTATTATAGAGATGAGATCTCGCCAAGTTGTCCAGGCCGGTCTTGAGTACCTGGGCTCAGGCAATCCTCTTGCCTCGGCCTCCTAAAATGCTGGGATTATAGGGTTGAGCCACCGTACCCAGTGGGTTTGTTTTTTTTTTACTTTAAAGATGTGGAGTACAATTCAGGGTTAGGTATACAAATGTTCACATTCCTTGTAACCTGAACAAAATCTGTTCCTGAAAATGTTGTGAACCCCAAAATTTCAGACAGAGGAAATCTACATTGCATTATTTTATATTTAAAAAGTAATAATGCCATCCAAAGCCTGTAGTCAGTTTCTCTCCAAATCACCAAAACATTTAGTTACATACAAAATATTTAAATAATAATCCACCAGGGGTTTCTGCACCCAAGACTTTAAAAATACAAACCACTTTATCATCATCATCATCATCATCATCATCATCATCATCATCATCATCTGAGCTGAAGTCTCACACTGCTGATCACGGCTACTGCAGCCTCGACCTACTGTTAACTCCCTGATGGGCCCAGGCGATCCTTCTGCCTCAGCCTTCCAAGTAGCTGGAATCACAGGTGCATGCCATCATACTCTGCTAAATTTTTTTTTCTTTTTTAAATTGTAGAGATGAGGTCTTACCATGTTGCCCAGGCTGGTCTTGAACTCCTGGGTTCAGGAAATTTCTCTCGTCATGACTACTCAAAGTGCTGAGATCACAGGTGTTGAACTACTGTGCCTAACCTACTTATTATTATTATTATTTGAGTTGAGGTCCCACTGTGTTGCCCAGGTTGCAGTGCAGTGGCACAATCACAGCTCACTGCAGCTTCAACCTCCTGGATTCAGGTCATCTTCCCGCCTCAGTCTCCCAAGTAGCTGGTACTACAGGAGTGTGCCACCATGTCCTGCTTTTTTATTTTTTGTAGAGACAAGGTCTTGCTATGTTGCCCAGGCTAGGCTCCAACTCCTGGGCTCAAGCAATCCTCCCACTTCAGTCACCCAAATTGCTGGGATTATGGATGTGAGCCACCATACCTGGCAATCTTTATCTGCTTTTGAAGTCTTTATGAAAGGAATCATACTACAGCTATTCAGTATTCTTTGATGTCTTGCTAGACAGATATTCTAGATAACTGTGCTCATCTATGGTTGGCTTAAGAGCCACTGCTGTGGGTGGGGTGAGGAAAGGGGTTTCCTTAGCTGCCAATGTCTAGACATACCACATTACTTCTGGCTTTACCTCAAGTTTTTCTTGCAATCTTTTTGAGACTAACAACCACCTTCAATGGAACACTGTAGGTCTGTCCTAAGAAGGGATGCGCTCTCCCTGGTGAACATTTGGGAACTTAGAAAAGGTGAGTGATCACAGATAGCCTGTCATTCAGCTATGCCTTTTGATAGGGCACCTCTTCAGTTGTGAACGTGATGGAACATTTTTTGGGGGATAACTGGTTTCCTGGATGCACCCTGGACTGAGAGAAGAGTGCCTCATGTCTCTGCTGCCTCAGGCCGAGAAAAGGGAAGACAGGGAAACTCCCAGCTCAGTACAGTGAACCTTTCTATAGGAGGTCGCCAGGCAGTGGTTGACAAGTGGTGGAGAGTTGGAGATAAGAGGAGGAAAAGCAGGCTGCTGTGAGGAATACCGGTGATGACACCAGAGACTGAGCACATCAGTCAGGCCGAGTTTAACAACCAAACAGTCTTGGATCATCACTTAGCACATACACAGAGAGCACTGACGACAGAACAAAGCCACAAATATTTGCATTCTGCATGAGGAAGAACTTCTCAAATATGCCAGGTACGAAGCATTTCCTAGACTTTCTCATTTACTCTTTAAAATCGCCCAAATACTCCTGAATTCCCAATCTAGCACCAAGTTCCTTCAAAGGTTGACACTGACTCTGGACCCCCTTACCATTGCTGAGAGAATCTGCGCTCCCAGGGCTGTGCTGCCTGGAGCCCAACTCAGTCCCCGTCTTCCTCATCTCTGTGTTTTCGTTGTATCGCCTTTTCCAGTAGTTGAGCTCTTCACGATCAGACTCCTGACAGCGCCGCAGAACTGCCATGGAGCGCCTTGTCTTCTCTACCATCTCCATGATGCAGTTCAGAGCCTGAGCCCGACAGGAACACAGGCAGAGATAAGATGAGGACAATCAGATGACAAACAATGAAAATCAAGGATGGTAAACACAATAAAAAGAGTTAAGGTTCAAGTGTTATACAGGTCTAGGACTGTCAGGTTTACATTTAAAACCCCTTACCATAGCTTCTTTTCAAATATATACACATATATTTCAAATATATACACACACAAACACAATTTATTTATTCATAAATTTCAAAATAAGGCATTTTGAATTCCTCAAGGTTAAAGCAGCCATATAGTCTCACAATACATGGACCCTGGCCATTTGCCATTGCTTTGCTAAGCTCTCGTCTGGCCATGTGGCTCTTTGAGTTATGGCCGCTTTGTTTTCCTAAGTTTTGGCCCTCTCCCCTACCTTGGTGAGGTAAATCTTCTCTCTCTCTAATTTACTTTCTAAATAAACTGCGTTTCTTTTTTGTTTTGGTTTTTTTTTGAGTTGGAGTCTCACTCTGTCGCCCAGACTGGAGTGCACTGGCCGCTCCCGGCCACCGCAGCCTCGACCTGCTGGGCTCTGGCGATCTTTCCGCCTCAGCCTTTGGAGTAGCCGGAGTTACAGGTGCGCGCTACCATGCCTGGCTAATTTTTTGATTTTTATTGTAGAGATGAGGTCTCGCCTGCCCAGGCGGGTTTCAAACCCACGGGCTCAGGCAATCCACTCACCTCAGCCTCCCAAAGGCGTGGGATTACAAGCTGAGCTACCGAGCCCGGCTAAACTGCGTTTTCTAATCTAAAAAAACAACAACAAAAAAACATGGTCCTAAATCCACCAAGTCATTTGATAAAGCTGGAGATTTTTATAAGACTACAACCAGAGAAACAGGTATCAGGAATAGTGCTCACTCAGCAATGAAAAGGCACTGTGTGTAAATTTCAGGTGGGAGCTCCATCTCCACTTCTCCTTTCAGTGAGGGGACACTCTCTTTCAGTGGGTAGGCTTACATTCTATGCCAGAGTGCTAATTCTCATTTGTATTTGGAGGAGCTCATGCTCCCTCTGGGCCAGGAGCTGTGGTAAGCACCTTGTGCATTATTATATTTTTAAATTAAAAAATTTTTTTTTGAGTTGGAGTCTCAACTCTGTTGACCAGGCTGGAGTGCAGAGGCACGCTCACGGCCACTGCAGCTTTGACCTGCTGGGCTCAGGTGATCTTCCACCTCAGCCTTCCAAGTAGCTAGAACTACAGGTATAAGCCACCATGCCCGGCTAATTTCTTGATTTATTATAGAGATGAGGTCTCGCCAAGTTGCCCAGGCGGGTCTCGAACCCGCGGGCTCAGGCAGTCCACTCACCGCAGCCTCCCAAAGGCGCGGGATTACAGGCTGAGCCACCGAGCCGGGCTTTGTTTTTTTTTTTTTAAGAGACAAGGTCTCTCTTGCCATGTTGCCCAGGCTAGACTTGACCTCCCAGCTCTGGGGCTCAGCCTCCTGAGCAGCTGGGACCTACCAGCATATGTCCCAATGCTCGGCTACAAACCTTTGCTTTAACCATTATACTACACGACTTTACTTGCTCCATTAGTGATGAGAAGTATTAAGAATCAAGAGTTAAAAAAAGAATTGGAGAAATCACACACTGTAAGATTCTTACATGGTCAAGATGTTTCCATTCATCAGCCCATTCCCTTTCTGTCAAACGATGGTCTACCAACTCATCTGGATAGCCTCCATTCAGACCTATTAGAAATAAGGGATTACATTTGAAGAAAGCAGGAAGAATATAGTAGAACTGAGTTGTGCCAAGTAAATACACACATTCATAACAACTTTGAACATGCCACTAAAGCAATGATTCACAGAGGAAGCAGAATCCACAAAATGACATATAACCAACAAAAAAATCACTATTCAGGTTATCTAAAGAACTCCAACAAATTAACTGTGAAAGACAAACAGCTGAAAAGAAAAACAGGCATGTCACAGATAAGAAAGTACAGATAGTCCACAAACATCTCAAAAGATACTCAAACTTATATATAAGTAGTCAGGCAATACCAATAAAAACTTCACTGATATAGCATTTCACATCTAACATACTAGAAAAAATCAAATAATACTAAGTGTTGGAAAAGATGTGATGTAATGCAAATACTTAACTAGCAAAACTAGAGTGTGGGCTGGGCTTGGTGGCTCAGCCTGTAATCCCAGCACTTTGGGAGGCCAAGGCAAGTGGACTGCCTGAGCCTGCAGGTTCGAAACAAGCCTGGGCAATTTGGCGAAACCTTGTCTCTACAATAAATAAAAAATTAGCTGGACATGGTGGCGCATGCCTGTAGTTCTAACTACTTGGAAGGCTGAGGCAGAAGAATCGCCTGAGACCAGCAGGTTGAGCATGTGATGGCCGTGAGCATGCCACTGCACTCCAGTCGGGAAAACAGAGTGAGTGAGACTCCAACTCAAAAAAAAAAAAAAGAAATTTTCTTAATTAAGGTATATGTAACTGAGCCTGGCAGACAAAAGGTTGAACCTAATATAAATCATTAAGGTAGATGATCAATGGGTTCTTTTAGGATGAAGTATGCTCAAAGATTTTTTTAAAAAAATTTTTTTCCTAAATTTGTTAACAAGTAAAATCTGAACCAAAAAAACCACCACCAACAAAAACACAATGTAGTTATATGACCCAGGAACAGTAAGATGTACTTATGGTCCCAGCCATTCAAGAGGCTGAAGCAGGAAGATCACTTGAACCCAGAATTTTGAGTGCCTTCGGTAACATAGCAAGACCCCACGTCTAAAAAAGACTGGGCACAGTGGCTCACACCTGGAATGCCAACACTTTGGGAGGACGCAAGAGAATTGCCTGAGTCCAGGAATTTGAGAACAGCCTGGGCAACTTGGTGAAACCTTGTCTCTACAATTAAAATAAAATAAAATAAACTAAAATAAAAATATTAGCCAGGCATGGTGGTATACACCTGTGGTTCCAGCTACTTGAAAGGTTGAGGTGGAAGGATCATCTGAGCCCAGCAGGTTGAAGCTGCAGTGGCCATGAGCATACCACTGCACTCCAGCCTGGGTGAAAGAGTAAGACTCCTCCTCAAAAAAATTTTTTTAAAATAAACAAATTCAGCTATAGCAAGTTTTTTTTTAAAGTATACTCCTTTCTCAAGTAAAACTGGCAAAAGAAAAAATGTGCAGAAGAAACTAATAGCAAGCCTATGTTTTGAAGAGATAAAAAGAGATGCACAAGAGGAACAGGGATTGGGCACTATGATAGGCATTGTATGCCTAATGCCTAACTTTGGGGATCAGATAACTGCAGTCTAACTCTTGTCTCTGTCACTCACTAGATATGTGATTTTAGCCATATTTCCTTCTTCTAACTAACATCTGTAAAGAGGGATAACAGGTCGGGTATGGTGACTAACATTCGTAATCCCACCACTATGGGAGGCTGAGGTAGGAGGATTGCTTGAGCCCAGAGTTTGATACCAGGCTGGGCAACATAGCAAAACTCTGTCTCTACAAACATTTTTCAAAACTTAGCCTGGTGTGGTGGCATGCATCTGAACTCCCAGTTACTCGGGAAGCTGAGGCGAAAGAATTGCCTTGGCCTAGGAGGTCGAGGCTATAGTGAGCCATGAGTGTGCCACCATAATTCAGCCTGGGTAACAGAATAAGACTGAAAAAAAATGGCATGAACTGCCTTGGACTTCTGTAAAGATTACACGAGATACAATATGGACAACATAATCTAAGCGGAGCTAAGCCTCAGGCAATGTTGGAACTAAGAAAGAACACCACTGCTGCTCTGTCTTCACTACTCAGCTGCCACTGAACAAAGCCAGGAGCCCTACTGTGGCCAGGCTGCTGAAAGAGACTAGTGAGCCCAAGTCAGAGGAAAAGATGGCAAATGTGTTGCAATTTCTTACTCCACAAATGGAAATGAAGGGGAAACCCTGAAAGCTGGCAGCCTTTTGGCTCTCTGCTCTGACAGGCACTCAGCAGTTAAATGCCAAAGAACCTTCTGCAATAAACTTATATGAGTACCTGACAAAAAGCTCTGTATAAAACTGATCTCAGATGAGGTCTACTGAGGATATTTTTTGTTTCTTCCTAAATTTAATGGTTTCTGAGGGCCAAATGTAACAACTCAGCACAGGTGGTGGTGTTATCTCCATTTCAGAAGCTATTCTTCTGAGGCTCAGAGAATCTAAGCCATTTGCAAGAGATTACACAGCTAGTGAGGACACAGAGCCAGGACTTAAATTTAGATGTGCCTTATCTTTTGACCTACATGTCCATGGACTTTCACCTCTAGGACCACATATTTTGCATCTTTCTTGCTTAATTTACAGAAGAGTTGCATGAATAGTAACAAGAATTTTTGCATACCTTCACGTAGATTTCCCAAATGTCAGTATTTTACCTCATTTGTTTTTTCATTCTATTTTTGAACCACTGAGAATAAGTGAGACTCCTTTACTCTTTATTGCAATATATTTCTGGGGTTTGCTCAGTTTTGACTCATGAGTGCACGCGTTGAGCTGTTGTTCGTGAGTGGACTCTTTTTTATTCAGATTCCCCACCACCCACTGACAGTAGCCCTGCTTCTGTCATATAATGACAGCAACAAGCTATGAAGTTAGATCACTATCAAACGAGACCAAAGTGCTAATAGTCTTTTTATGTATAATATTGTTTTGTCTAATCACTGAAAAGAGCAATGAGATCTTATTTCACTTGATCACTGAGTTGGAAAGAAATCCATGGACTCAGTCTGAATTGAAACCATGATCACGCTGTTTATGTCACTTACCAAGATTGTGGTGCCGTTCCCGGACTTCTCGGTGTTCTAGCATCTTGCTGGGTTCCCGATACAGGTGTGAAGTTGCAATATCTTCTAAAGTATAATGCTGGAGAGGTGGTGGAGTAGGGTGGAACTGGCCTCCAGCATTCAGGAGGGGCACAGTGAGGGCAGGACTGTGCCGGGGAGCAGGGCTGATGGTACACACCCTCTTGGCAGGAGGCTCAGGAGCAATTGTATCTCTTTCAAAATTATTCTCTTCTCTCCTACAGAAGAAGCAGAAGTGCCTATCTGAGCCTCATCAGACATTTCCTGAGTAGCCACTCTGCTGTGTATTGTGCTGTGTTCTACCACAGACAGGAAGGCTGTAAGGAAAGGCGTGACATGAGGCATAAACTGAACATCTTCAGGGACTAGGCACATCATGTAAGTTGTAGATTTATTCCAACGTGAAAAGAGGGGTCAAATCCATCCATAATCAGCAACCTCTACCCCTCATAAAGCAAAGGAGAGAATAAGGAGATTGCAGCATTTTCCTTGGTGGTCAGAATACTCAGAGTTATGGGTTCAACTATTTATTTAGGTACGTTTTAAGGTCAAATGTGTTCTTGTGGAGGTGAGTTATTGGAAAGCAAGAATTCTTGACATGGAAGAAAAAAGGCTCAAGTAACGAATCCACTTAGGTCTTGGCAGAGTGTTCGATCAGTCCACTTCAATTGTCACACGTTTTCCATTGGTGTTAAAATATGGCTTCCTTGATAACCCACAGCATATTTTGGTAGCCATTCATATAATTTTTCAGAATAAATTCATAAAATTTTAATCTCAGTAAAGATGAGTTATTAACAAATAATAATTGTTACACTTTTATAAGACCTCATACATCGGAAAAAATGCATTTGACAAAAAATAATAAAAATTCTCCATGAAAAAAGAAACATGGAGCTGGGCTTGATGGCTCAGCCTGTAATCCCGCGCTTTGGGAGGCTGAGGTGAGTGGATTGCCTGAGCCCGCGGGTTCGAGACCCGCCTGGGCAACTTGGCGAGACCTCTTCTCTACAATAAATCAAAAAAATTAGCTGGGCGTGGTAGCGCACGCCTGTAGTTCCAGCTACTTGTAAGGTTGGGGTGGAAGGATCGCCGGAGCCCAGCAGGTCAAGGCTGCAGTGGCCGGAAGTGTGCCACTGCACTCCAGACTAGGTGACAGAGAGAGACTCCAACTCAAAAAAAAAAGAAATATGTCCTTGGTAGATTGTATTTCTTAGGCTTTTGGCACAGTGGACCCATATGTGCTCTAGAGCAGAGTTTCTCACTAGGGGTGTGCAGTCATCTGCAGATTCTCTGAAAAATACCCATGTGTGAGAGCTACTCCTATAGATTAGGATTTATTCTACTGCTTGGTGCTGAGACCAAGCAGAAAGAAGCTTAGAAACTCTGAGACATTACCTATCTACAGCCTGAGTCATAGAAATATCTTTCTTTCTTTCACAAGCAAAGGGGAAAGTTGGAGCAATTTCAGAAAGGTAGGAACAACAAAGTTCTTCCCTGCTTACCTCTCTGGACTGGGCCTCTTCCCATTCCCGTGCACCTCCATAAGCAGCTCGGAAGAGTCAGCCGGCGACGCGATGCTTGTGTTGAGCAGAAGGTGCTCGTGCTGGGCCAGGTACTGGGACGGAGTCTGCTTGGCTGCCCGAGCGCAGTGCAGCAGTTCTCGCTGCAGGAGGGGCAGGTTGGCCTTGGAAAGAAGAGGCAGTGTTCCCAGGGTTGGGCCTGATACAGCAGGGCTGAGCACCTCAAGGGGTCTTCACAAAGCAGATGATAAAAGACAAAAGTCCTGCTCTCCTTGTGAGTCTGAATGTCACATGCTTCTATGTTAGTCAAGTGACATCTGTGATACTGCACCTGAATTACTTACTGACTGCCTAGTCTCTTGCCTCAACCAGATGTGATTCCCCTTAAGAGACTACACCTTGCTTACCATTATGGCCTAGTACAGAGAGAGTCAAAGCTCAATGAAAGTCTGTTGAACATAGTAATTTAAAAATAAACATTTCTGAAGACTTCATTCAGTTAGAAAATTATAACTGCCTACACGGGAGTAGGAAGAATTCACTCTTTCCTCATCATTACAGCCCTGGTTTCTCACTTTTGAATCCCACTGATGGCACTACTCAACCTTCCTTTATGCTCTCTATGAGAGCTGCCACAGAATTCTGGAGACTGTGATTATTGTGGAACATAGGATTGTGAAAAGGAGCATTGGGAATGATACAATATGTAAAATAATGATAAATAATGTACCGATATTTTTCCTTCTCTCATATTTAGACAACTTGTAATAGGGACAAATTGTATTTTAAAACCCTATACATCTTTTAAACTTCAGAATTCTAATTCCTTCATATATAGAATCTACTTTTCCCATATTTTATCAAAAAATTATATCTTTCTCATCAAATTTAAACAAATAACAATTGAGGCTGAATCCCAAAAAGAAGACTCTATCCCAAGGGACAGATGAGCAAGTCTAAGGAGAGTTTAATTAATTAATTTTTTTTTTCTGAGTTGGAGTCTTACTCTGCCAATCAGGCTGGAGTGCAGTGGCACACTCACAGCCACCCCAGCACTGACCTGCCAGGCTCTGGTGATCCTTCCATCTCAGCCTTTCAAGTAGCCGAACTATAGGCACACACGCTACCACACCCAGTTTAAGGAGCATTTTAATATGTGTAAGTAATCATCCTTTCACTGAAGGTTAACTTAGCAGGCACCACAATTAATGGCTGTTTTAAAGCAGAAATCAATTGACAAAACCCCAAATGCTAGCCAAAAAGCTGCCATAACAACCTACCTCATGTGTTTTCTAAAATAACAGAGTTAAGAATAGGAAATTTGATGATGTAAAACACTTTTTAAAATCTGTTCTAGAACCTCAATCTTGCTGCAACTGTAAAAACTTAATTAAAACAAACATCATGCTAGATATTTTTGTGGCATATATCCCTCAATGAATAAAAATCATGTTGTTTTTTTCCTATTAATACAAATTTCACAAATCTTTCTTGATTCTAGAGCCTTAGGAAAATAACTGTCTACTGGCACTGAAATGCAGAAGGAAGACCAAGATAGAACTAGCACAGCTGTTTCAGAGCTGAAAAAAGAACCACAGCCTGTTTGGACCAGCTGAGGCTTCAATGTTATTAGAACAGAGCTGCAATACAGGCTGTGCATCTTAGACCTGTGCCTTTTTTTCTACATCTGCTGTAGCCCGATTTAAAGTAAGATGATGCATCTTTTTGATGCTATTACATTTTCTTAGGAAGTGAAAGTAAGGTAAAAGAAAGTAAAAAGAGCAAATTTATATACCCAGATAGTAAATATTTAAGGCTTTGTGAATTAAGAAGCACAATTAAAGATAATATACAAGGGGGGACCTCAAAACACCCGGAATAATCTTTTGGAGGGCATGCCCCTTGTAGTACAGGCTTCCCTCACTAGGTAAGTGTTCTAGGAACCCATCAGCATCAGCGAACCAGCTAGCACTGCTGTTGAGAGGCTGCGTTTTCAATAAGCATTCTGAGTTGTGGCAAACAGGCGACGGGCTCTTCCACCATGACAGTGCCCCTGCCCACACAGTGCTGAATGTCCAGCAGCATCTGACCCAAAATGGCATGACCTCCCCCACATCCTACCCTCCCTATTTACCCGGTCACACCTTGAGCAGCTTTCTTGTGTTTCCCCGAATGAAAAACGTCCTTGAAGGGAAACGTTTTGCTGATGTGGAAGAGGTAAAACAAAAAGGCAGAAGCACAAAAAGGCATCAAAATGGACGAGGGCAAAAACTGTTTTGAGCAGTGGAAAAAGCATCTCGATAGGTGTATTGCATCAAAAGGAGAGTACTTTGAAGGTGACTGAAGTTTAAACATGTAAGAAAATACACACTTTTATAAATAAATTCTGGGTTTTTGGGGGGTCCCCGTTGTATCGGTATTCATTAAAATAAGACAATAAATTTTCATAAATATATTTACAAAATTCAAAATAAAAATTAGTATCTGTACAAAATAATAATTGAGTACAGTTTTTTGTAATATCAAGCAACTAGTAATTAAAATAATGGAATTCTTTTTTTCAGGAAGAATTAGCTTAACTAGGGTTCAAGTTAGTATTCTCTACCCCCAAACTGACGACAAATGTTCATCTGCAAAAACCACTCATAGCTGTATAAAACCATGTGGTATGCGGGATTTGGGTCATATCTGGTCTATAACAAACAGGTGCCTGAGTCTAGTCTTTCACTGCCTTTGAGTTATTTTATAACTCTATAACTTACAAGTGATAGCAATGTAAAAGGACTGTTGTCTGTGGACACATAAATCATGTCCGCCTATTTCATCTGTGTTTGCATAGTTGTAGCAATAATTCTGACCTATAATGTGCCTGTTCTTTGGCTTCTCATTTGGACTAGTTGTAACATCTTACTGATTCCCTCAATGAACATTAGGTAAAATCTTTGACACGTGTTCATGTTTTTTTGTCTGTATAAGTCATAATGTCCCCTGTCTTGGATAAGTATCATTTCATAGGAGAAAATACTAACTTTATAGTGAAAAAGCAGGTGAGACACAAGCTTTATCAAGTGATCAAAGTCAACAGGATTAATGACAGGACTATTTGACATCTATGTCCCATGTGTAACCTGATTCTAATCACGACAAAGCATCAGCAAAAAACAAATCAAGGTACATTTAAAGTAACTATCCCGCACTCTAAAAAAAAAAAATGTCAAGGTCACGAAAAGAGTAACTGTTCCAGATTAACATGAACTGAAGAGATATGACAACTAAATGCAACAGGTGATCCTCAATTAGACCCAGGACCATGCTCTTTCCCCATGTTTTTCTTTGCTATAAAATACATTACTGGGATACTTGGTGAAATATAAATAAAATCTATAGATAAAATAACAGTGTTGTATAAATGGTAATTTCTTTATCTAATAATTATATTAAAGTATTTAGATGTGTACAGATGAATCTCAAACATTTCTGAGGAAAAACTAGAGGGAGTGATAATGCAAATAAGGCAAAATATGACATTTGAAGAATCCAGGTAGAGGGTATGTAGGAATTTTATCATAATCTTTTGCAGCTTATCTGTGAACATGAAATTATCTCAAAATAAAAAGCTTTTTACAGAGGCATATTCTGTGTAAGCACAAAAATTCTCTGCCACGAGCCCAGACTCCACCCACCTGCCTTTCAGCACACTCACTGCCACTCACCCCTACTTGCTCCCTCAGTGTGTTACTAGCAAGGTCTGCACAGACCACAACTCAAGTATGAGGCTTATCTGCTGACTGCACTCTCACCTCTCTACCAGCTCGAAACAAAACATGGCAAACTGCCCCCAATTTGGATCACAGAACAGGGATCAGTAGGTCTTGAGGAAATGTTGAAGATAAGTTACATTTAGTTATTATCTCACAGAATTACCTTGAGAAATGGAATCACAAAAGGACGAAGAGGAAAGTTTGTGGCCTCCTGGAGCTTACAATGGAACTCCTCAATTGTCACTGTTGAGTTCTGAAAAGATAAATAACCTCGTTCAACTTTCAAAACTGGACAATCTTACAGTGCTGAACTCTATTAAATCATAAGGAAAAGTGTAATTCCAAGAGCACTATTATGATCTCAGGTACCTCTCAAAGGTTAACCAAATTCCATTTCCTTTATGACAGAAATCCAGCCTTCTTGACTGTCTTCTCTACCACCCCTAATCTAAATTCTTTCCTTTGCCCAGCAGAATAGAGCAGCACCTTCCTCACTACCCACGAAGAGCAGCACTCAAATCCCTTGATAGGGAGGGGTTCACTGAGAGTCACGTCAGGGACTGGTTCCTGTTGAAAAGATCCTGACCTGGAGGAAGTCAACTTGAAGACATTTTCTACGCTCAACACCCAGTGCCACATTTTTCAAAAGTTCCTTTCTTTCACAAATTCTACCCACTTCCTGGAATAACTTTCCCAAATCTTCTTAATGGAAAGTTTAAAAAATAAAGAAGGAAAAGAAAAAGAATAAGGTACCTTCCACCTTCAAGTAGCCTTTGTGCATATTAGGACAACTGAAATAGGCAAACTATCACTGTTAAGTTTTTAATTATTCTCAGAAGAGTTATTAGCACATCTCTTGTATTTTCTCAGACATCTAGGCCTTAAACTAGGAATGAATCTCAGTTCCTCTGCTAAGGGGAATGAATAAATGAAAACATTTTCTACAAAGTTCACAAAATATTTTTATTTTGATTCCTTAAAACACAGTATAATAACAAATTAAAACAAACAAACAAAAATCAGAATAAAACAATGTCCACCTCCAGGAGCACTTTTGTAGAAAGTCATCAAGTGTGTCCATTGCCAGGTCATTGCTGAGTCACTGCCACCACCATTGCTTTGCTAAGCTATGATATGGCCATGTGCTCTTTGAGCTATGGCCATTGCCATGCTTCCTGGCTTTGGCTGCCTTCTCTACCTTGGAGAGATGAATCTCCTCTTTCTCTCTCTCTCTCTCTCTAATTTACTTTCTAAATAAACTATACTTTCTAATATTAAAAAAAAGTCATCAAGTGCTTAAGACATAAGATATTCACCGCAAAATATTTTTCCTTAGCAACAAAAAAGGAAACCATATAGGTCCACAAACAGAAAACTGTATGAAATTACAAAAGAATCAGGTATCAGAATGATTAGAGAGGTACTGCAGATCTGTAGTATTAATGAGGAAAGCTGTCCAAAATATATGGTGTGAAGTAAAAAACAAGAACATTATATTTATTCCAAGAATCTGTTTATGAAAATAACACACACACACACACACACACACACACACACACAGTATACAGTATTTTAAATGTCTAGAAGGATGATCACAATAGCAGTTATTTCTGGGCATGTAATAATGCTGGATTTTCCCAACATATTTATTATTCAATAAACACAGATTTTTACCTATAAGAAAAAGGGCATATTTAATTTAAACATATTAAATGAAAATGTTTGAACACTTTCTCCATTTCAAACCAAAAAAACTCTTTTGAACTTTGAGTACTTGTTTTAAGTATATGACATCTGTACAATACAACCAAAGTAATCCGTAATAATGGTAATCAAGAATAAAAACTAAGTGTAACAGAATGATACACTTTTATCCCTACTGCAAGGAATGCAAGCAAGTTTCAAAAAGCAAATACAAGTAGATTAAATGTATAGTAAAAACTACATGAATAATTTTAAGTTTTTTTGATGATGAACATAGGGAAAGGACAGATTGCGTGGCACAGAGAAATAATGAATGAGGCCAGAGAAATGGGCTCCAAATGCAGTAAACACTGTATATACAGTAGATATAGGGCAGTTCTGTATCTGAGAGGGATAAACCCATTGCTTCCCCCCTTCGATCATTTTGTAAGAGCACATTTCATATCAAGAGCATAATTGTTTATTTTTGTACAAAAGAACTAACAGTCTAGTGGAAAAGAGGCAACTAAGCTATTCATTACAGTATGATCAAGGTATAAGACCCTACTGACTCACAGAGAAGATGTATTTGTTTTGTTTGGTTTTGTTTTTTTCTTTTTCTATAAGACACAGGGTCTCCCTTTATTCCTCAGGCTGGAGTGCAGTGGCACAATCACAGCTCTCAAACTCCTGGGCTCAAGTGATCCTCCTGCTTCAGCACCCTGACTAGTTAGGGATACAGTCATGAACCACTATGCCTAGCTCCAGACATTTTCTTACACAAGCCTTCTCACTGGCGTGGAAAGTGAGTAAAGGAGAAAGATTGGTATGCACTGCTTTTACACCATGTAACACATGATATGAGGGTGTTCAATCCTGATCCCAGGGAATAACTTCTGGTATTTTGCTGTTCCTTTCCCCACCAAAGGAGCTGGGACTACAGGTGCATACCACCATGACAAGCTATGGAAACTCTCTTAATTGATGTATTTTATTCTTTCATCTACCCTAATGTTCTAAGATTCCTTCTTTTATCATTTGCTTTTGGTTTCAAGAACTTTCTTTAGCTGTTCTCTTAGGGCAAGTCTGCTGGAGATAAATTCTACTTATTACTTTATCTAAAAATATCATAATCAGCCCACCCTTCATTCCAGAAGGATGTTTTCTTTTTTTCTTTTTTTTTTTTTTGAATTGGAGTCTCACTCCGTCGCCCAGACTGGAGTGCAGTGGCCACTCCCGGCCACCGCAGCCTCGACCTGCTGGGCTCCGGCAATCCTTCCGCCTCAGCCTTCCAAGTAGCTGGAACTACAGGCGCGCGCTACCACGCCCACTTATTTTTATTTATTTTGGAGATGAGGTCTTGCCAAGTTGCCCAGGCGGGTCTCGAATCCGCGGGCTCAGGCAATGCACTCACCTCAGCCTCCCAAAGGCGCGGGATTATAGGCTGAGCCACCGAGCCCGGCTAGATATTTTCAATAGACATAAGATTCCGGGTTGACAGTTCCTTCTAGCCTCAAAATCGTTACTAACGAGAACTCTATTTGTCACTGAAATTTTTCCTTATAGATAAGATTTTTTCCTGCTGCCTTCAAGATTTGCATTCAGTTTTCAGAAGATTTACTATAACTGAGTGTAGCTTTTTGTTTTGTTTTGTTTTTTATGGGGGGAGGTTATCCTGTTTGAACTTCACTCAGCTTTCCAGAATCTGTAGGTTTAGGTCCTTTGTCAACTTTGGAAAATTTCAGCCATTATTCTTACAATACTTTTCAACTCTCCACTCTTTCTCGTCTCCTATTGTGACTCAGGTATTTGATTACAGTCACTCAGTTGCTGAGGTTCTGCTTTTTTATTCACTTATTTAGATCGGGTACTTTTTTTCTCGTTCTAGTTTCAAGGTCCCTCACTGGTTCCTTTCGCTGTCCTCTCTAGTCTACTGTTAAGTTCACCACTGAGATTTTAATTTCATTATCATATTCTTCAGCTCTAAAATTTCCATTTGGTTCCTTTTTTATCTTCTATTCTTTTGTTTGGCCTTTGCATTTTTCATGTATCTCTAATCTATTCGTTGAAGCATTTTTATGATGGCTGCTTTAAAATCCTTGTTAGATAATCCCAACATCTGTATCAACTTAGTTGGCATCTATTGGTTTTCTAATTCCAGTTATGACATGTAAAAATTTTCTATCGTACCCTGGACATTTTGGGTTCTATCTTTTAAGACTCCAGATCTTATCTAGTTCATGTTTTAGGAGGTCTTTGACTAATCTAACTGAGGGTCAGTATAGTCAGGATTCTCCAGGGAGACAGAACCAATAAGATGGATGAATAGAAGGATAGACAGACAGGTAGATATGTGAGGGGTATTGGATCACACGATCAAGGAAGTTAAGTCCCAATTAGCAATCTGCAAGCTGGAGATCCGGGGATGCCTGTTGCAAGGCTCAGTCCAAGACCAAAAGCTTGAGAACCTGGGAAGTCAACAATGTAATTCTCAGCTGAGATCTAAAACCGTAGAACCTGGGGACTGCTGCAATCTAAAGGTCAGAAGGGCTAGAGTTCTGATGTCCAAGGGCAAGAAAAGAATATCTCCTAGAGAGAGAGAATCACCCTCCCCCCCCTTTCTTGCTCTATCTGATCCCCCAGCTGACTGGATGGTGCCAGCCCACATTTAGGGTAGATCATCCCCCATTTAGTATACTGAATTCCCAGGCCACCCTCTAGAGATGCCCTCACAGACACACCCAGAAGTGATGCTTTACCAGCTCTCCAGGTATTCCATAATCTTGTCAAGCTGACACCACATATCCTCATAAGGAGGAATAAGAGAAGGCCTCATCAAAGCTATCAGGTGGGCAGAACCCTAGTCCCCATTCAACCTCTGGTGACTAGGAGGGAGGAGTGGAGTGGAAGTTCAGGCACCTCTGTAGGCCTCTGATAGGGGAAGGTGCCGTATTGCTGCATGTTTTCCTGAGGCACTTAAACATAGCAGAGCACTCACTGTCTAAAGTTCCTGCCCTGTCTGCTTGCTCTTTCCTGGTCCTTTGGCTAGAGAGAAGCTTATTGTTTTTTCTTTCTTTCATTTCTTTTTTGAGTTGGAGTCTCACTTCGTTGCCCAGGCTGGAGTGCAGTGGTACGTTCACAGTCACCCCAGCATCGACCTGCTGGGCTCCAGCGATCCTTCTGTCTCAGTCTTTCAAGTAGCTGGAACTACAGGCACTCATGCTACCATGCCCAGCTAATTTTTTTTAGTTGTTATTATACAGACAAGATCTCACCAAGTTGCCCAGGCTGGTCTCGAACCCACGGGCTTAGGTAATTCACTAGCCTCAGCCTCCCAAAGTGCTGGGATTACAGGCTGAGACACCGAGATCAGTCTTCTTTTTTTTTTTTAGTTGAGATAGGGTCTTACTTTTGAGCCACTGCAGTGGCTCAATCAGTGCAGTGGCCCCAAACTTCTGACTTCAAGTGATCCTCCTGCCTCAGCCTCCTGAATAGCTCAGGACTGGCTTCTGGTTTGGGGCGATACCAGAAAAACATAAAATCTAGGGAGCTCACTATAGTTCCT